CGGTAATCATACTGCAAGCTATAAGGGCTGTATCGTATACCAGCAGACAGTAAGTCGACGCAAATCTGCTACATCCCATCGTAGCCCCCATCAACAACAACAAGTTACGGCTCCAACTGCACGAAGAGGCATTGAGCCCTCGCTATCTTACGGGTACGTCGCCGGGGGGATCTCGCCAAACACAACAGGCTAGCCCTCAGCAATTTACAAGCCAACAGCAGCTGCAACAATTCCCACCACTAGGAAGTAGGTACCGGAAGCAGAACCAACAAAGTCAACGTAGGGAAAACAACCGTCAACCCCAACAACCAATGCTGGACACAATCCCAAGGCCAGAGCAACATCCAGGAACCCAGCAACAGCAACAACCGCAACAGCAAAATCTATCCCAGCAACTGCGTAATATCCAGAATAATCAGCAAATGGCAGCGGCAAGAAGAAATGTTCATGCGATCTGATGAAAAAATGTCAATTCTCGTAACACAACTAGAAAAGATGTTCCAGATGATGATGTCAATGATGACTCTCGTCACTAGCCTTTTATCACAAAACGCGCCAGGATCTACTCAACCAAGTTCTGGACGTCTCCCAGTTTATCCAATCCAACCATGAGTCAAATTGGACTCAAAATTGGTGTGTGGAACGCCGACGGGCTGGCCAACAAAGCACTGGAGCTAGAGCTTTTTGTTCATAAACATCACATAGATATTATGTTGGTCAGCGAAACACACTTCTGCTCTCGTTCATACTACAAACTACACGGATATGACGTTCACCTATCTAACCATCCCGCCGATCGCCACCGTGGGGGCTCTGCAGTCATCATAAAGTCCTGTCTCAAACACTACCAATTTTTAACAATGGAACATCAAAGTGCTCAATGTGTCGCAGTCAAAGTCAATACGGATCAAGGTGAAATTGCTATTGCCTCTATTTATTGTCCTCCAAACTTCCAGCGCTCCTATGATGACATTAGAACACTGTTTGAGGAACTAGGACCCAAATTTCTAATTGCCGGTGATTGGAATGCACACCATCGACTTTGGGGTTGTCGAAATTCCTCTGTCAGAGGAAGAGTATTGGCAAACTATATCCTCAGCTCTCACATTCAAGTCCTTGCAACCGGAGGTCCTACCCACTACCCGTACAGCCAGCGTACGCCAACTGCAATTGATTTTGCCATATATGGGGGGATTCGCTCTGAGCTCCTATCCATCTCAGGGAGCTTGGAACTTTGTTCTGATCACATCCCCTTGTTAATTGAGCTAAGAAGTGCTGCTTTCAAGGTCTCCCAAAAAACACATATTCTCCCTCGAAACGCAAATATTCTACGGTTTCAGGCAGCAATTAACCAGCTAGTAAACCTCAACATGGTCCTGAGATCCCCTGAAGACATTGATGATGCCACTGAGGTCTTTGTGCGAAACATTCACATTGCTGCCGAATCTTCAACCAGTGGACAAGGCTCAATAAACCCATCAGATCCACCTCATGCTCTTTTAAAACCTGAGGTCCTGGATTTGGTGAGGTCGAAAAGAGCCTTGCGTCGCAGATTCATGCGGTCGCAAAATCCGGCCGACAAAAGAGCATATCGTCGCGCTGAGAACGATCTAAAGAAGTTGCTGCATAAGACGAAAAATGATTATTTCTCAGATCTACTACGCAATGCAGACCCCACAAAACCGTATGAATTTAACCTCTGGAAAGCAGCAAAGTCAGTTAAACGGCAGCCCCCACGCAGAATCCCTATAAAGCGTGCTGACAACACTTGGTGCAGATCGGATGCAGATATTTCTCTGGCTTTTGCTGACGAACTAGAAGGTCGATTTCAGCCGTTTGATCTTGCTAGGAGTGAGGACGTGGAAGCAACACTGGCATTTCTTAATACTTCCTGCCCAGATGTAGAGCCCATTCGTCATGTAAGTCCGGAAGAAGTTTGTCTCCAAATTAAAAAATTGCACGTTAGTAAAGCTCCAGGATTTGACGGAATCGATAATAGAGTTGCCAAAGCTCTGCCCAAAAAGGGCATATTATTCCTTGTGCTCCTGTTCAACTCCATGTTACGTATTTACCACTTCCCCACACAATGGAAGTGCGCAGTGATATCGATGATACCTAAGCCAGGCAAACCGGAGAACCTTGTTGCGTCTTACCGGCCAATAAGCTTGCTGCCAACATTCTCTAAAATATTCGAGAGAATATTTCTTAGCAGAATGATGGCAGTAAGAAGTGTTCAGGATGCCATTCCAGATCACCAGTTTGGCTTCCGGAATCACCATGGAACGCCAGAACAGGCTCATAGAGTAACGCAGCATATCTTAGATGCTTTTGAAAACGGTCAGTACAGCTCTGCTATCTTCCTTGACGTAAAGGAAGCCTTCGATAGAGTGTGGCACAATGGATTGCTTTTTAAGCTAAAAACACTCCTACCAACTGCTCAATATCTCCTTCTGAAATCGTACCTGCTGGAGCGAAAATTCATGGTTGATGTGAGAGGTGAAAGATCATCCATTAGAAGCAGTCGAGCTGGAGTACCGCAAGGGAGTGTTTTGGGTCCTGTGTTATACACCCTTTACACCTCTGACTTGCCCAATCCCAGAGAACCGGGGACACTTCTTGCAACGTATGCTGATGACACAGCCTTTATCGCAAACTCAGCGTGTCGAATCGAGGCTTCTAGAAAAACGCAAAGCTTTTTGGATACATATAGCGAGTGGACGAAGAGGTGGAACATATCCATAAATGGAAATAAATCGCAACACTGCAATTTTTCCCTGAGACACAAAATCCTCCCTAGGGTTAAATTTCAGGACACGCTAATTCCTCAATCTCCTCAGGCCCAATACCTGGGATTGATCTTGGATAAGCGGCTCACGTGGAGGCAACACACCACCAAAATAGCAGCAGCATGCCGTGGAAAACTCAGAAAGCTAAACTGGATGCTAAAGTCCACCAGCAAGCTGAGCCTCAGTAACAAAGTGCTGCTATACAAAGCAATAGTTGTTCCTGCTATGACCTATTGCATCCAGATATGGGGTACTGCGTCCTACTCTAACGTTATGAAAGTGCAAAGGGTCCAAAACCGGGCGCTGCGCACAATCACAAATGCACCCTGGTTTGCTAGGAATGCAGACATCGCTAACGACCTCAAAATGCTACCAGTGAGGGAGCAGATCAACAGGCACTCAAGTCGGTACAATGAACGGCTTCTGGCCCACACCAACCACCTAGCGGCATCATTGGCCATCCCCATGTCCAGACGAAGACTGAAGAGACGACATCCAGGTGACCTTTGGTTAAGAGGGAGGCAAAGAACCCGAGTCCTACACCAATAATTGAAATGCCTTTGTAAATTATAAATTGTTTACCGTTTACTGTTATGTTTCCATGTTATGTTTGTTGTTAGTGTTAGTCCCTACGTTTTATAATCATTGATTTGGTTGATTAACGTATAATTAAATTTGAACTTATATAAAAAAAAAAAAAAAAAAAAAAAAACGTCTTGCTTCTTCTTATTCCCTTTACATTAGAAGTTGAAGTGCTCTGCACTGCAGAAGTGTCGTGTGTTTCATTAATTAATAAATAAATTATTAAATAAATTCGTTCCGGGCCTTATAGGAATTGTTGAAAATACCAAAAGTCACACTGTTTAAAATACCAAAAAGAAGGTCACACTTATCTCAGAACGTGTTTGGTTTCCTGTCGTATGCTCATGCGTACCCGAATTAATTGTTTGAAGACAACGAGAGCGTGCGGTTGTGAACGGTTGTGAAATAAAGAAGTTTAATTAACTAAATCGACAATTAAAGTGTTTTTACTATTTGGCAAATCTGGCTGGCGGCTTCTTAGAGTTTGTATAAACTCTGTTTTATATAAATCTCATAGGAATATATAAAAAGGTGAGTAAAGTGATTGTTTTTAATTAAATAAAAACCTACGTGTATTATTTTAACAGAAAGCGGGAAAATCATTTTTGCATAAAGCGCCAACACTGACACATAGCATGCCATAATTCTCTACTCAGTTTATTTTATGATAAACCGAAATTGTGTTCCATTTTGAGAAAAATAAGTTATTCGTTTCATATCAGTGCAATTGGAAACCAGCATTTGTATTTAGGGTGGTAAGTTGAACTGTGTAAATTATGTGGATTAGAGGTTAAATTAACCACTCTGCCTATAGTCGAAAATGCCTATAGCACGACGTGTGAACATCGGTCTCCGCACAAGGCATGCAATCCAGCAACAAGTGTATTTACAGAACTTAGGCGAGGAAAGACGAAATGAAAGAAGAGAATATGACCGATTAAGACGAAGCGTGAGCACACGAAGATCATTGGCATCATACAATCGCTTGGCATTTCAATATGATCCCTCTGCGAACTACAGAAATGATTGAAAATTAGATATTGGACCTATGACGACTATATGCCGATATTGCAATGCGTTAGAGTTTAAAAGAGAAACTGCTGGATTGTGCTGCGCAAGTGGAAAAGTCAAACTGGATCCATTACTTACACCACCACAGCCACTGAAAGCATTGTTCGATGGAAGTGATCCAGATTCCAGCCATTTTCTTCAACACATCCTTGAATATTGTTCGCCCAAATTGCGAACTGGCCGGTACGGCAAATTATGTTTCAAATAAAAATTAAAGTGCGGACACAAAGATGGGCTTTTCAACGCTTTCGATTCCAGATTGCGAGTGATTTCACAGTTTATTAAAGCTCCTTCTTGGGCTGTTTGATTTACAAAATAATGGGTTCTTGAGTGAGTGAGAGAGAGAGCTTTTTCGCTATATGAGCATGCAAGCTCAGCTCTATGATCTTAGGTACTAAATGTAAACATTGGGTTTCAAAGATAAGCTGCCACTGAATTGCCTGAACATCGGCCGCGTTGACAGCATGCATGCTTCAACACATAGGAATAGGTGCAAGGCGGTGAATAGACCGCTTGTATATGCCAGATTTTGTTCTGACTACAGCTACGCGAACCTTCCCATCATGTCCTGGAATGACCTCTGCGACTACGCCTGTTATCCACAATTGGGGAGGAACGTTGTCTTCGTGAATCGCCACCACTGTTCCGACTTGAAGATTGTCCACGCCTTTGGTCCATTTTCCCCGCTGCTGTAGGCTCAGTAGATAGTCTCTCGACCAGTCGCTCCAAAATCGCTGAGACTAGCTGCCATCTCTGCAAGTACGTGAGGTTGCAGTCTGCCTTTGGCTGCGCGGATGCGGGTGGCAGCGTTGCTAGCGTTGTGCCTACGAGTAGATGCGCTGGTGTGACGACCTCTCCCTCGTTGGGACTGCCACTGTCCACGATGAGCGGCCTCGAATTTAGCACGGCTTCCACCTCCACGATGACCGTATGCAGCTCGTCCTCCTTGAGACTTGCCTTGTCCATAGCCTTCAACAAAAGGTGCTTGGCCGACTTTACGGCCGCCTCCCAAAGACCGCCAATGTGTGGCGCTCTGGGCGGGATGAATTCGATGGTGAATCGGTGTGCTGCAGCATACGACATGATGCTCTGGTCGTTGGTGCCGAAGGGTTCCATGTGCTCCTTGAGGATTCGTGCAGCACCCACAAAATTTGTAGCAATGTCGCAATAAAGTTTGACAACAGGGCCGCGGCGACCCAGAAACCTGGATAAGCATAAAATAAATGTATTAGATGTCAAGTCTTTCACGATTTCCAAATGAACAGCCTTTGATGCAAAACAGACGAACACTGCTATGTACATCTTTATCGGCTGCTTCCCACGAATTCCTAGGGAGACTTTGACTGGGCCAAACAGATCGACTCCGCTTACTTCAAAGGGTCTATTTCCCTGTAGTCGATCTTTTGGTAAATTACCCATTATCTGTGATAGAAGTTTTGGTTTGTAGTGAAAGCAATGGACACACTGCCTTACAATGGCACTGCACTCACGCCGCGCGTTTATTAACCAGATTGATTGTCTTAAAAGTCCCACCAAAGACCTTGGTCCCGCATGACAGTTAGTTCTATGTACGTGTCTCAAATATAGATTCACAAATTTGCAGTTCTTTGGCAATAGTAAGGGAAATTTAGCGTTGTGCGCAATGGGGGCATGTAGTAAACGACCACCTACTCGCAGCAGGGAGAATGATGAATTCCCAAATTGTTCCACCAAGACAAAGGGATTTAACTTTTGAATTCCCGCACGCAAATTGGCTGATTTCTCCAGCTTCACAATTTCATCTGCAAAGGCTTTCTGTTGAACCGTTTCTACTACCTTAAGAAATGCCGTTCCCAATTCGTCCGCTGACGGACAAATTGAATTCCAAGTAACATTTTTCGAAGGTTAATAAATCGATAAATGTAGGATACTATGCAAACCACCTTTAGATAAGAAGATGACCTTTCTACAATATTGAGAATCGGGTTTAGCTCACCATCGGCCGCGATAAGAGCGATGCGTGATTTTTTGAATTCTAATTCTGACTCTGTTTTTGAGAGCTGAAAGTGCGAGTTTTGCGGCCAGTTATCCGCTTCCTTCTGTAAAAAACTAGGACCATTGTACCAAAATGAGGTATTTAGCTCATCCACAGAGCACCCTCGCGACACTAAATCCGCAGGATTTTCTTTTGTTGGCACATGCCGCCAAACCGCTGATGACACAATGTCCTGAATATCAGCAATTCTGTTCGATACAAATGTAGCAAGCTGGGATGGGTGAGTTTGTATCCAGTGAAGAACTATTTCCGAATCGGACCACAGTACAACGCTCTCTACAGGAAAGTCAATAATGCTGCGAACATCTTCCCACAGTTTTGCTAATAGATGCGCCGCGCATAGTTCCAGTCTAGGAATAGTTTTTGTTTTTAAAGGGGCTAGATTTTGCTGTTAATAAGTGCACAGATACCCCGCTTGGATCAACCACTCTGACATATAGGCAACACCCATAGGCTCGTGTAGAAGCATCTGCGAACCCATGAATGTGACACACTGCTTGCTTGCTTGTTTCGACTCGGTATAGTCAACTTTTCCAACAGTGCAAAGTCATTTTTTACTATGTTCCACCTATTTTCAAATTCTTTGGGAACAGGATCATCCCAGTTTAGACTCAAGAGCCAAGCTTCTTGAAGAAATATTTTTGCTTTGGTTATAATTGGGCATAACAAACCCAACGGATCAAAGAGAGTAGCGATAAAGGACAAGATTGATCTTTTGGTCACCAACTGATCAGAAGACACCTTACTAACGCGGTACTTAAACACATCAGCCTGCGGATTCCATATTAATCCAAGTGTTTTGAGGTCTTCAAGATCTCCATGTAAAATTTCTGCATTCGATTTGGTATACATATTAGTTTCACAATTCGAAGCCCATTTTGTTAGAACAAAGCCTGCAGGTTCCAATATGTTAACGAGTTCTCTACGAAGAATGATTATTTCTTCTTCTGTATCTGCTCCAGTGAGCAGATCATCAACGTAAAAATCTTTGGCAAGTGCTCTTGCACCTCTAGGATGTGATTGTAAATGGCTGTCGCTGAGATATTTTAAGCATCTAACTGCAAGAAAAGGGACACTTGCTGTTCCATATGTGACAGTATTCAGCCGATAAATTTGTAAAGGGCTTACAGGATCTCTTCTCCATACAATTAACTGGAAAATTCGCTGCGCCTCGTCAATCTCCACGGTACATTTTAGTTATGTCTGCCACAAGGGCGAATTTGCGACAGCGAAATCTAAGAAGAGTTGAATATAAGCATGGTTGTATTGTAGCTCCTACCATCAGAAGGTCATTAAGCGACATTTGCGAAGTAGTCTTGCAAGATGCATCAAACACCACTCTTAGCTTGGTGGATTTGCTTTGTGGACGTTCCACACATTGGTAGGGTATAAAACAATGTGGATCTTTCGGTATTGACCCCTCGATTGCAGTCATATGCCCAAGAGCCAAATACTCTTCCATGAACTGATTAAACATTAATTGTGTGTTCGGATTTTTAGATAAGCGTCTCTCTAGCGATAGAAACCGCCTTCTTGCCATCTCAAACGATGATCCGAGACATGTTGGGCTTGATTTAAAAGGTAAGGATACTTGCAATCGACCTGAAGGTAAACGAACAACTGTTTCTCGAAAGATTTTCTCACAAAGCATTTCTTCTGGGGTATACCGTTTGTCCTCGGACACATTTGGAACTTGTTCCAACTCCCAGAAACGTTTGACTAATTTTTCCAGTGGACCAGACTCATTCATGGTGCTTACCATAGAGCACACTTCCGTCCTTTGGTGATCTTTGGATCTATAACGCCCTGACACCACCCAACCAAAAACAGTGTTTTGCAAAGTGAGTGTGTTTTTCTGTTTAATTTGGCCATCTTTTAGCAAATCAAAGAATGCGTCTGCTCCTGGCAGCAAATCTATTTTTTGAGGCTTATGAGAGGCTGGATCAGCTAGCGGGAGATTTTTAGGAATGTTAAGCGATTCAACATCTACGCCTTTCTCTGGATGGTGGGAGGAAATAGACTTCAGAACGACGAAATCAAACACCATTTGAAAGCCATGAACGCGCGAACTAATTGTAGTTTGCACCACTTTGTGCGCAGATAAGCTCGATTTTCCAATTCCCAACAAATTAACTTCTTTTCGAATCCGCTTTAACTGCAAGCCTCTTGCCATTTCCTCCGTAATAAAATTAACCTGGGAACCTGAATCCAGAAGTACTCTGGCTGGCTGAATCTGACAAGAGCTACCTTTTATGTTTACAACTGCAGTCGCCAAAACAACTTGCTGTGCATCAATGACGCTGGCGTGGTTTGATAACACAGGGCTTGGATGTTCTGCAGCACGCACTCCAAGATGGCTTGCCGCAGAATCAACATTTTGTGGTATGGACACATCAGCAGTGTATCGATGTAACAATGTATGGTGGGGTTTCGAGCATACCCCGCAGTGAGATAGTTTGCATGCCGATACATTATGTCCTTTTCTCAAACAATTTATACAAAGTGGGAATCCCTTGGCAAATTTAAACCGGGTAATGACAGCCGCAGCTGAGAATGACGGACATGTAGTGATAAAGTGATCATTAGATTTGCAGAACACACATTTTACTTCCTGCACTTTGCTTGTTTGTGCTGCTGTCAATGCCGTTTTTCTGAACTGCCTACCTTTGTGTTCTTGCTGTCCCTTGCGACCCTTTGACCGTCCGGTAGTGGATTCTTCAGTCGATAAATGCTGAAAACGCTTATTGAGGGCACTAACGCAATCCGACCACAACGGAATTTTTTGATAATCTAAATTCTCTTCCCACCTAGAGCGAGTCTTTCCGTCAACCTTCGACATAACTATATGAATTAAAAGTGCGTTTGCAATAACCTTTTCATCACCAACAGACAATAGGGACTCATAAATTGCAGATACGGTATCAATTAATGACCTCAATGCACTAGCTGACGGGCTTTGTATAGCCTGCAGTTCGTAAAGTTGAGATATTCCGTCAAAGAAAATAAGGCACTCATTATCATAAACTTGTTTCAATGCATCAAGAGCCTTTGCATAATTCTGATCCGTCACCTGAAAGGCTTTAACAGTACCGAGCGCTTCGCCTTCTAAACAACATAATAGATGATTAAATTTTTCAACGTTGCTTAGCGATGGGTCACAATCAATTATGCTTGAAAACAATCCAATAAAGTTTTTGAATTCAGAATACTTCCCACTAAATTTGGGCAACTGCATTCGCGGCAAGTGACGTGTATGCGATGTAGTTGTATAAAAACTGACTCGTTTAAATTATTAGGCGGGGTTGGGCCTTTTAAAGACAACAACAATGCTTTGGTTACCACGCACAAATATTCGAGATCGGCTCGCGATGATAATTCCGAATCGATATCCTCCACTTGCAATTGTAAAGAAAAAGCTCGATCTATATACGTGTCTGAAATACATAACCGACAATCCAATTGCGTAGGGTTTAACGAAATTTTTTTAGTTTTAATAGCTTGCGCTAGACGATTGATATCTGCCTTAACTGACTTTAATTTTCTCATAATACCTTCCGTATCGACTTCTTCAACAACAGAAGTATTGCTGTCAGAACCGCCACGTCTTCGAGTCATTTTCCGATAATTAATTTATTGAGTTTTAACGATGTTGTAATTTCCGAAATATTCCACTCTAACTCAAACCAAAGAGTCCCGCTTCACTCAGACTCAGTCCACTCCGAATTACATATATTACTCAAACCAACTCAAACGGTTCGACCTTTTGAGTGACTTCCAATTAATTGAGCGCAATGAGCGAAACAACTGTATGAGCGCTGGCTTAGCTGAGCGGCGACCAAGAAAACTAACACGACTGTACCGACAAATGCAGCCGCACAAAACGAAGTTGGGCACAACGAAAGTCGAGAAAACGTACGGTAAATTCTTGTACTTTATGCACTTTATTCTTCTGTCTGCTGCTGCTTCCAAATTAGCGGTACTATGTATGTGTATGTGTGCGTGATACGAAAATCATGCGCAAGTTATTTTTTTCAGAATTATTACCTTATTTGTTTGATGCGACTTATTATAATAAGGGCGCATATTACAATTCAAACCACTTCAGCGTTGACTCCAAACAATCCAGCGATGCGGGCTTTAAATCCAGATTTTATTGCCCGGCGTCCAGAAATCGACTCCAACTAAGTATCCAACGTTCTGCTTCCAATGGCTCCAACGATATGGCTCCAAATGTCCAGCGATGGGGATCCAAATGTCCACCCGGGGGCGCCAAAAATGTTCGCCCAAATTGCGAACTGGCCGGTACGGCAAATTATGTTTCAAATAAAAATTAAAGTGCGGACACAAAGATGGGCTTCTCAACGCTTTCGATTCCAGATTGCGAGTGATTTCACAGTTTATTAAAGCTCCTTCTTGGGCTGTTTGATTTACAAAATAATGGGTTCTTGAGTGAGTGAGAGAGAGAGCATTTTCGCTATATGAGCATGCAAGCTCAGCTCTATGATCTTAGGTACTAAATGTAAACATTGGGTTTCAAAGATAAGCTGCCACTGAATTGCCTGAACAAATATAATAACTGCTTTCGCATGACTTCCTTTGGAGCTAATATCATTCGAGAAGGCGGCTTCATGCCGACTTGCAAGGTAAAAGTTACAATCACTTAGACAAACAAAAAGAATTGCAACATAATAACAACATATACTCTACGGACTACACCATCACACGATTCTTCAACAAATTATTGTTTGCAATTACAGATACAAGGGCAAATATATCATTTGCATGGTTCGTTGGTGCCAACAACAGAGGAACCGCATCAATTTCTGCAAATATATTTCATTTCGTCGATGGTGGATCAGCTGAATGTGCGTTGCAACATTCAGGGAACAGGACACTTAAAGAGACGAATTATTGAACAGTTGCAAGCATTTTTTCACGCTAATAATGCTGTGGTTAATATGTTCAAATCGGCATTGGAACGAATGCCATCGGATACGCACAAATTTATCATAAGAGCGGATTGTACCCCAGCAGGTGAACATGTGCGCAGATTCAATGCACCCACCGTTAATGATGTTGCTGCAATTATTGTTGGCGATCCAACTAAATCGCGAGACATTGTGGTTCAGCGAAGAAGCAATATCATGCATCGAGTAAACGAGACACACCGTTTATACGATGCGTTACAATATCCAATCATTTATTGGCAAGGGCAAGAAGGATACGACATCACGTTGAACATCGGTCTCCGCACAAGGCATGCATGCCAGCATGCGTCGCGGGTGAGACCGTGCCCCCGGTGTTGCCCATATCCGTTTTGTCCACTGGAGGATCCCAACAGTTGTCCTCTTAAAGTTCCCTACCAGGGTGTCAGGCCCGGACTACCGGCCGAAATTGGTAAGGCGGATAATCAGCCTACCTTGAAAAAACCCCCTATGGCAATACCACCAACGAGACAGTTTCATCTTTCAAAATGTTCCTGAGGAATTCTTTGACAAACTATGCTCTGTCCAAAACTGACCAAAGCATGTGATTGTCAAGGAATTCGAAGCAAAGAAAGAGAAAAAAAGGACAGTTGGAATTACACTTCCTAGGCCCGATTTAACCAATGCGCCTTCAACGTCTTCCAATTACGTCTCTAAAAACTAACATTTCATCAACATTTCATCAACATTTCATCAGTATTTCATCAACATTTCATCAGTATTTCATCAACATTTCATCAGTATTTCATCAGTATTTCATCAACAATTCATCGATGAAATGATGATTAATTGTTGATGAATTGTTGTTGATGAATGCCTATGACATGCCCATGTTAAATTCATCAGTAATTTGTATGGCCATTCATCGATGAATCATCAACAACACCCCTTCGGCTATTGATGAAACGTTGATGAATTGTTGATGAATCGTACTGCAGGGTAGAGTTACATGCATTGACGTTCTGTAATTCTGAACAGTTGGCATTCGGATTTTCTCCTTCACCGCAGCTGGTCACATCTTCGAAAAGTCCTTATTAAATAAAATAAAAATAAACGAAAATATATAAGATAATTTATTTAAAGAAAACTATTTTGACTCCAGAACATTGTTTATAAATCCGTGCCAAATAAGTGCTGAAATAACATCTGCAAGTCCACCAAACTTTGCGACACAATCAGCCAGAAAATCGAGTGACGCAGCAAATTTTTAACTCAAAAAGCAACAACAAGCCGGGGTGCACCCTGGTAAGTCAAAATGATACCACCAGACAAAAATAAATTATTTTCGAGAAATACAAACTCAGACGAACAAAAATATATTATAATTAAACGAAAAGACAACTTATCTCTGGAAAACGCAAATCCATTTATAATAAAAAAATCGATTGATTATGTTTGTGGAAGTGAGGTTGAAAAATGTAAACTCACCAGAGCCGGGACACTTTTGATACAAACTAAAAACTCTAAACAAGCAGAAAAACTACTAAAAATTAATAAAATCGGGATAATAGATGTGGAAGCAAATGAACACAAGAGCCTCAACGAGACAAAGGGAGTAATTTATTGTAATTTACTCCGAAATATCCCAGAAGATGAAATTTTGGCAGAGCTGAAATCCCAAAAGGTCAAGGAAGTTTACAAATGGACAAAATTGGTCGATCAAAAACGAGTCCCAACAGGTCTGTTAACATTAACTTTTGCATCCACTAATCTCCCCGAAAAGGTTATGATTGGCTATGAAATAGTATTTACTCGCCCATACATT